GCAGCAGAATCCTCAGCAGCAGCACCAGCCGGCCCCGCAGCCCCAGCCCCAGCAGAACAGCAGCTCCCTCAAACCTTCTCAACCTCTGAGGATGCTTGCCATAGATGCAGGCGAAACGTCAGGAGAAATGCCTCTAGAACATGGCTCTATAGCCCGAAAAAACCCACAAGAACCTAGTGATTCCAGCCATGAAAGCCTTCGACAATATAGACCTGAGGTCTCATCAAACTTCCCACTGAGTATAGACAGCAGACCAGATCTAAAGTGAACTGGTCCATTGTCCACAGAGGCATTCCTGCACTGCAAGCGAAAGGGGATGAATTGAGGCCATGTTGCTATTGTTGCTGTAACAGCCATCTTTCTCTATGGTCATAGGGGCACCTTTGTTGACATCTGCAGCAATGGGCAGTGTTCTGGTATGGCTGTACCAGGAGCTCCAATTTTATTTGCTTTGTATTAAATATTTGCTTGCAGTCCAAGGTTTCAGGGACTCTGCAGATAGGTGGCTTCTTTGGTTGCAGTCATAGGGCAAGTCACCTGTCCATCATCGTTAAGTTTTGGTCCCGCCCCTTGCTCAGGGCAATTGGGAAGGGAAGGGAGCCATTTTTAGTTAGTCTCAGCAAGGAAAGCTAATGTACAAGACGTGTGCAAGCTTCCCCTGTACAAAAGCTTCAACCCTTAAGACTTTCCGGGGGGAAACAGTCTTAAGAGCATCCAAGACCTTCCGGGGGAGAACAGTCTTAAGAGTCTCCAAAGATTTCCAGGGAAACAGCCCTAAAGACCAAAGAACTCCAGCTGGAGAACATCTAAGCCTTTACTGGTAGGTCCACTCGGCGTTCGAGAAGCAGTTTGACCCGGTAGCAGAGCCCACATCAGTAAGGGTTAGATTACAGTCAGCCTGGGAGAAGTTAAAAAGGGATTTTCCATTTAAAGTAAAGAAGAAGTTATTGAAGACAGTTGCCTGTCCTTCGTGGACAAGTTTAGGAAGCCGCCAGTTGCATAAAAGCCTGGAATCATTTGTTTATCTTTCTGAAGACAAGAGAAGTTTCTGTTTGATTGTTCATTAATAAAAGACTTTGTTATATTTCACAAGCCATCTAAAGATCATTTGTGGTGGAAAACCTCTGAGAACTTCTTGGGCCCCCTGGCTTCCCGCTGGGCAAAGGTTGCACGTCCTGTTCTAAAGGAAATTCTTTACAGGCAGGAACACTCCAATTGGCTGCGAAAGTGGCAAAGATGACCAGATAAATAAGGGTGAGAGTCCAGCAAGGCAGAAATGGTTTAGGCCAGACTGGATCATCTGGACTCTGCCCCTGCCACTGCTGTGTGAGAGCATTTGAACAGCCTTGTAGGAACCAGAGTTGGTCCAAAGCCCACAGTTTCAAAGCTGCTACAAAACCCCTTGGCATGATAGTCAGCCTTTTGTTTATCACTGAAATCATGTCTCTGAGTTGTAAGTGCCTCCTACCTTTGGAATATGAAATCCACGTATTGTCACATCCTTCACACATTCTCTAGGAAGCCCCAAAAATAATATATATCTGGCACGTAGGATCTCGTGAATCACAGCATTTGTATAGGGCAGTTTCTTATGGTCTTGATATGAGAATGATTCAGAAGAACCCAAAACCTCTTCTATCTCCTTGTAGACCTTATCTGAGAGAAAAGGGGTGAGTTTCAGTTTAATTTTGGAAATAGTTTGCACTTGGAATCAATCTAGTAACATATCTAGTATTCTCATCTGACCCACATGCAGTCTTTGTGTAATGCACGCATACTGTGTGTATATAATCCCTTTATTATTTCTGGTCCAGGTTGCTTCCTACACCATTTACCTTTTGTTATAGAAGATGGGCATGCAAACATTTGGAGGATCATGTTCTACCATAGGAAGAGAACCAGCATGATGCAGACATTTGAGCAAAGGATTATGTTTCTTGAGAACAGGACTTGAAACCCTATTTAAGAACAGAAACATGCATCTCTCATCTCAGTAGGGTTCACTACAATTTGCACTTGCTGGTATCCATGCAACGTCTAGAAACATATTCTCTGCAGATATACAGGAATGTACTGTATTGGACTGATTACAATCCACAACTCAAATAAGCAAACACATCCACAACACTGTTACTCCCTTTATGCCAGTGTTTTCTCACCTTGGATATCTGGATAGCTCACCATTAAGAGGAGTGCCCATTGCAGACTGGTGGCACTGGTCTCTGTCCCCGCAATGAATAACTCATTAAGAAAGTTAGCCAAGTTATCATCACTATAGGTAGAGGTGGGATCATTCTTGCTCTGTTGTGGGGAATAAGGTGAACAAAAAATTTAGTTTGAATCAAAAGAAAAACTTTATGAAGTCAGGTTTTCATTATACCACCAACATTATTTCTCCAATAGTGGAGTATGCAATGACTTTCCGACTCAGGGTTGTAGACTTTGGAAATAATCTGATATTAAAGGGGATATATAGAAAGGTTGGAGTATTTTGATACCTTTCCGAAATTACACACAATAAGAAATTCTAAGTAAAAGATGCAGGGCTGTTTGAGCCAGTTTCTTGGAAAAACATAATAGTGTTGGCAGTTGGAGCAGTCTCATGCCAGGCTCTGCATAACGCACAGGCACCTCCTAAAATATGAAAGCGGGTCTTCACTAAAAATATGAAGGCAGCAAAAGGAAGAGGGAGTATGGTTGTTGAAACAGCTGTATATTTAAATGTCTCTTTATTTTAATCATTGAAATATATCCCACTGATTATACCAATATCAGGGGAGATTAGAGCAGAGAAGGGGAGCTAAATCTGGATTGGGGGACTTTTATGATCCCTCAGTATCCAGGTATTATTGAATGTGGAGCAGCCATGAATATGAATGAGTTATGAATGTGTGACTGTATATAGTTTATGCACTTGTAATTATGATTGTGAGATTTGTTTATTTTTTTATTGACACATTTGTTTCAATGTATGCATATTAGTTCACTGTAATGCCTCGTAATATAGACGAAGTAGCATGGGGATGGGCTCAGAGCAAATGTTATCCAAAGCCCATAAAATCCTCCTGATGTAATATAATGATATTTGTGCAATCTAATAATATTGGGATACAAAATGAATACTTACTTTCTCCATCTGAAGTAGATAAAAATCAATGATATCCTGTGGTTCATATTTGTTCTGTTGTTCCCTGTGTTTCTCTATCTCCCCCATTGCAAAGGAATTCTCCTTCTTGAAAATATCAAACAGTTTTTGATGAGAACCTGGAAGACGTTGCATCAGCCAAGGAAATGTTTCATAGAGCTGTAGGGAAGAGGAAAGTAAATTCAAGTTGTTATAGTTGTGGTTCTCTGATCTCTTTGTTGAGGAACTGAAGATGTTTAGCTTTATATTTATCAATCTATGTCTAGCAAGAGTTCTTTGTATATTATTTTGGTCCATCCTCCACCAAATTGCACCAGGACATCAAGTGGGTCATGGGGAGTGTGTGTGCCAACTTTGGTCCTGCTCTGTCATTGGTGGAGATCACTGTTTCCTATAGGAGCCAAAGCAATAGAAAGTACTGGAAATCCCATCATCCATGGTCCATCCTTCACCAAATTGCACCAGGAAATGAGGTGGGTCATGGGGGTTATGTGTGCCAAGTTTGGTTCTGGTCTCTCATTCATGAGGGTCGCAGTTGCCTGTGAAAGTGGCAGCCAATCAGAAAGCTGCCACATACATACATACATACATACATACATACAAACATTGACTTTAGATATAGATATAGATATATAGATGTATAGATGTTTATTTACTTTATTTACTTTACTTGTATACCGCTCTTCTCAGCCAACGGTGACTCAGAGCGGTTAACGGCAACTCAGAGCGGTATATATTGTTACTCATGACAAAACCTTGGAAATGTATGTTATTATCTTACAAATACCATATAAATACATGTTAATATATATATTATTACAAATGTTCTGTCTCGCTGGGCCTGTAAAGAATTTCCTTTAGAACAGGACGTGCAACCTTTTCCCAGCGGGAAGCCAGGGGGCCCAAGGAGAAGTTCTCAGAGGCTTTCCACCACAAATGATCTTTAGATGGCTTTAGATAACAAAGTCCTTTATTAATGAACAAGCAAACAGAAACTTCTCTTGTCTTCAAAAAAGTTAAACAAATGCTTCCAGGCTTAATGCAACTGGTGATTTCCTAATCTTGCCCACGAAGGACAGGCAACCGTCTTCAATAACTTCTTCTTTGCTTTAAAGGAAAATCCCCTTTTTAACTTCTCCCAGGCTGACCCTTACTGATGTGGGCTCCGCTACCGGGTCGAACTGCGTCTCGAAGCACCGAGTGGACCTACCAGTAAAGGCTTAGATATTCTCCAGCTGGAGTTCTTTGGTCTTTAGGGCTGTTTTCCTGGAAATCTTTGAAGACTCTCAAGACTGTTTCCCCCCGGAAAGTCTTAAGGGTTGAAGCTTTTGTACAGGGGAAGCTTGCACACGTCCTGTACATTAGCTTTCCTTGCTGAGACTAACTAAAGATGGCTCCCTTCCCTTCCCAATTGCCCTGAAAGATTTTCATGAGCGATATCATGTTCCCATACTTTTTGTTATTACAATTTATTATGTGTCCGTGTCTCTTATACAGCGTTGGTTTAACCTCTCGTTTGCTAGTAAAACCAATTTACTGTGATGTGAATTGATGCATGTCTAAAAGATGTGTCACCAAAATGAAATGTATGGGAAGCTCTCTTCTACAGAGCTGTAGCTGCCTGATCTAGAGGCTCACCTAGCTTTTACCTGGCACATCTCTCCTCCTCAGAGCTCTACCACCTGATTGCTTGTATCTGACATAGTCTAGTCTGACATAGAACCTATATCACCTGGTTTTTATCTCAACCATGTACTTCCATAATAATATAATATCTGGTGCTTTTAGGGTATTTAAGTCAAATCCAACATATTTATTGTGAAAAATCTTTTTCTAGAATTCTGGTAGGGAACAGAATTTAGGAGATCTGTGCAATGCAATAAGAAAAAAGACAACTTACAACAGCAGATACACTTGTTGCATACTTGGTTACATAATCCACTGATTCCAACTTTTGCTTAAACACTTCATCCTCAGCAGAAAACCGATATCCAAAAGCCAGAGCACATATCACATTGGAGACTGCATTCGTGATTGGTAGTATAGGATCAAAAGGCTGCCCTGAAAAGGATAGTATTTATACTGTCATCATCATGAGTTAGGTGTCGTGATGGAAGTAGGAAGATGGCTAGAACAAAGTGCAACGTATTTTTATAATAAAAAAGTAAAACAATTACATGGCATTCCATTTCAAAATTGTTCTAAACTGTGTTCATAGAATCATTAAGTTGAAAGAGACAATGCCTGGCTTGAGAGCAGTACGTATGAAAAAGATCTTGGAGTCCTCATGGACAACAAGTTAAACATGAGCCAACAATGTGATGTGGCGGCAAAAAAAGCCGATGGGATTTAGGCCTGCATCAATAGGAGCCTAGTGTCTAGATCTAGGGAAGTAATGCTACCCTTCTATTCTGCTTTGGTTAAACCACACCTGGAATATTGTGTCCAATTCTGGGCACCACAATTCAAGAGAGATAGTGACAAGCTGGAATGTGTCCAGAGGAGAGTGACTAAAATGATAAAAGGTCTGGAGAACAAGCCCTATGAGGAGCGGCTTAAGGAGTTGGGCATGTTTAGCCTGAAGAAGAGAAGGCTGAGAGGAGATATGATAGCCATGTATAAATATGTGAGAGGAAGCCACAGGGAGGAAGGAGCAAGCTTGTTTACTGCTTCCATTGAGATTATGACAAGGAACAATGGCTTCAAACTACAAGAGAGGAGATTCCATCTGAACATGAGGAAGAACTTCCTGACTGTGAGAGCCATTCAGCAGTGGAACTCTCTGCCCCGGAGTGTGGTGGAGGCTCCTTTTTTGGAAGCTTTTAAACAGAGGCTGGGTGGCCATCTGTCAGGGGTGATTTGAATGCAATATTCCTGCTTCTTGGCAGAATGGGGTTGGACTGGATGGCCCAGGAGGTCTCTTCCAACTCTTTGATTCTATGATTCTATGATTATGGGCCATCCAGTCTAACCCTCTGCCAAGAAGCAGAAAAATCTCATTCTTCATTTCTAAAGTTTCCAAATTTTGTAGGTAAAAGTTTCATAACTCCAATGAAACTTACTAATCTTTCTAAGTACTTCGTCAATGACAGTTGCACATGTGCAATAGGGAAAACATCACTGGCAGTCGGAAAACTTCAGGGGCTTCTCTCTCCTCCACTTTTGAGCTATCTTGCTGAAACTTATTACAGTGGTAGAATACATTTACCACTGTTAGTTCGCCAAATTTCAGAATGTTTGACTTATCCATGGATTTTTGGCAAATTTTCAAAGTTTTTATAAAAAACATTTTTAATAATAAAGAAAACTTGTTCCTGGTTTGAAAGTATTGTGTTTCATTGTGTGGTCTTTACTTCTAAAGTAGTAGTTCTACTCCAGAAGCTTTGTTTTTGTGGCAGAAACTGTGTTAAATTGGTGGAGACTCAATAAAGCAAAATGTCCAATGTCCCTTGTGCAAAGACAAAGTTTTTACAGTCTAATAAACTTTTGCCATGTTTTTATGACAGAACCAATTATGAAATGACATTTATAACCCAGGAACAGATATCATAGTACAGACACCATCAAGGGACATCTAGCCCGACCCCCTTCTTCCAGACAGAAAGGCACCATCCAAACTCTCCTGACATCCATTTGCTTCCTCTATTGAGTTGAAGGGAAACCTTAAGGGACATCCATATAGATCATTACTTTTTTTACAGCCCAGAACAGATATTGGCTTAGAGCAAATCAATCAGTTATCCGCCCCAAAAAAAGCTGTCCCCCTCCCACAATGCCTTCCTCGTGGCAATCGGGCCAAGGAAAAAGTATTTTTAAGTAGTTTATGTTCTCTTAGCTTTGCAAAAGTTGCTTAATGCTTGCTTACTTTAGACCTCTTTGCAGAGTCAATCAGTTTATTTATTTTATATTTAAACTAACTATAAATGGTGACTGTTACAGCCAGCTATTTGGGTCCTTCAGCCAACATTTGGCCACTGAGCAGCTTTGCAATCTGGGAAATGTAGTTTATGGCAGGGCCTTTTGCAATCTCTACCATTGGAGGCCTGGCCTTCCCAAACTATAGTTAAGATGGTTGTGATTAGCCACACCCACCACCTCCCTTCTGACATCACTCACGAAAATGTGGCGAAAAGAATGAGACTTTAAAAACAGTTTAAGTTCCCTTGGCTTTACCAAAGTTGCCTAATGGTGACAGTGAAAAATAAACTGACTTTGAGAGACACCCGAAAATTACAGAACATTTCCGGGAAAAAATGAGTAAGTTATTCAAATTCTAAATCCCCCCCACCCACCCACCCACCCACCCACCCACCTTTCCTGCATGCCTCAGAACTCACCTTTGTGTGCCCAAATTTAACAAATCATATGCAAGTTCCGATCTAATCCGAAATTATGCTCAAGCCTAATAAATATGTTTTGTATTTTGTATTAAATAGGTGAGATATTTGAGAGCTGAGACACTATTTTGACCTCTTTTCTGGCTGGAAAGAATAAACTTCTGTTCTTTTTGCCTTCTTCTCAATCTGACCCTTGGAGTAGCAAAGTGTGCCAGGCTCCAAACCTGCTGTCTTAGTGGATAGCTGAACCTACACAATAGAATTACTAAGATTTTATTTATTCAACCTTGCAAAGGCTGATCTGGCCAGGGTGGTCCATGCCTTGGTCACCTCTAGATTGGACTACTGCAATGCACTCTACGTGGGGCTGCCCTTGAAAACGGCTCGGAAATTCCAACTGGTCCAACGGGCAGCAGCCAGGATGTTAACTGGCGCTCCCTACAGAGAGAGGTCAACCCTCCTGTTCAAGGAGCTCCACTGGCTGCTGTTTATTTTCCGATCCCAATTTAAGGTGCAGGTGCTTACCTACAAAGTCCTAAACGGTTTGGGACCATCCTACCTGCGTGACCGCATCTCCGTGTATGAACCCACACGCTCACTTCATTCATCCGGAGAGGCCCTGCTAGCGATCCCGCTAGCGTTGCAGGCGCATCTGGTGGGGACGCGAGACAGGGCTTTTTCTGTGGTGGCCCCTGACTCTGGAACACCCTCCCAAAAGATCTTAGACAGGCCCCTACGTTGGCAGTCTTTAGGAAAAACTTGAAGACCTGGCTGTTCTGATGTGCCTTTCCAGAAAAGGAAAAGTCCAACAACAAGTCGCAGAAGCACTTTATTAGAAATTAAGATTGCTGGCACACTGCATTTACCCTATAATCCCACATATCACCTGTCACATCAGCACTTTTAATCTGTACCCATTACTCTGGCCGGCCCAGTTTTATTGTGTCTTGGTGTATTGTTTTATTGCTGTTGTTTTAATATTGCTTTAACTGTTTTTAATTTGCTTTAGGTTATGTACTGTTATGTTGTGTTTTGAGGCCTTGGCCTTTGTAAGCCGCATCGAGTCCGTCGGGAGATGCTAGCGGGGTACAAATAAAGTTAATAATAATATAATATAATATAAGATTGTATATAACATAAATGTGCATTTCACCAAAATATGTGCATTAAGATTTCAGCAGATGGGGACATAAATTCTTACATACCTTTTGTACAGGCAAAAGACTCCACTAGATACTTGGCCTCCATTTCTATTTGGGTCTCCATTAATTTCCTCCCCATTCCCATCTTCCGCAGTGTCACTAAACCAAAGCGTCTGTGTTGCTTCCAGGTGTCGCCACTTGAAAATAGAATACCTGCAGCTAGCAGGAACAAATAGAAAATAGTTACACACCAGATAGCACCATGCCTTGAGGCTTGGCTGAGCAATTTCTTGACATAGGCCTTGAATGAAATCCCATTATGGTCATGATGACAGAGCTGTTGTGGAACTTTAGCACAGGTTTGAGACCCAGCTCTCATGCAAAACATTGTGAGGTCCCAGCTCCCACACACCCATGAATTTTCTGTGCCTTCCTGAAAGATATCAGGATTTATGTGAAGTTTAGCAAGACCCCAAATCAATCTGCAGTCATCCTTCCATTTTCACAGGAGTTTGGGGGACAAGACCCCTGTGTAGCCCCCCCCCCCCAAAGAAAACCTTAATATCATTGACAATATTTAACACTGCAAAATCACAGTTCTTATTATTTTTGCATTTTTGGACAATGTTTTAACAAGGAGACTCGAATGGCATAGGTTTTGTTATTGATTTTATCATGATTTTATATTATCTTAATTGATTTTATTGTAGTCTTATGCTTTGATATTGACTGTAAACCACCCTGAGAGGGGCAGTATATAAATATCTATATAAATAAAATTGTAATGTTCATTTGTGGGATGAACATAACTCAAAAACCACTGGACGAATTGACACCAAATTTGGACACCATACACCTAACAAGCCAATGTATGTCCTTCACTTAAAAAATGGAAAAATATAATATTATATCTTTTATAACACACACACACACACACAAATATTATAAGCTATAATTACAATATTTTATATATTACTGTTATATAGATTACTATATAATATGCTACTATTATATATTACTATATAACACAAATTAAATACTCATAGAATAGAGTTAGAAGGGACAGTCGAGAAGTAACGAGAGAAGGAGGGAAAGAGGGAAGGAAGGAAGGAGAGAAGGAGGGAGAGAAAGAGGAAGGAGGGAAGAGTGAAGGAAAGAAAGGAAGGAAGGAAGGAAGAAAGGAAGAGAGGAAGAAAGGAAGAGAAGAGAAGAAAGAGAAAGAAGAGAAGAGAAGAGAAGAGAAGAGAAGAGAAGAGAAGAGAAGAGAAGAGAAGAGAAGAGAAGGAGAAAAGGAAATAAAAAGGTTAAAGGAGAGAGGGAGAGAAAGAACGAAAAACAGAAAGAGGGAAGGAAGGAAGGAACCGAAGAGCAAAGAAAGGGAGGAAAGAAACAGGTAGAGACAGAAGAAAGAAGAAGAGAAATAAGAAGGGAAAGTAAAAGAGGGAGGGAAGGAAAGAGGAAGGGAAAGTTGGCTACAGCAACGCCTGGCGGGTACAGCTAGTAGCAAATAAATAAATAAATAAATAAATAATACGCTTTTAAAAAATTCTTTACATTTTCCAGACTATCAGCATTGTTTGTGATTTTCTGCAGTAGGCCACAAGACAATGCCTGGTGAATACATACTTATTCACCTGTCCTTTTCAAGAAAGCAGTCTGTTAATGGCACCATTGCAGAGGAACTTTGCACTATGCACTACATGTCATTGGACAAAGAACAGGAATGGCATTGATGTGGAGTGGGCCAAATGAGGAATTGATTCAGCATCTTTGCTTTTTCTCTGTGCATCGTATGGACTTTGTTAGGTTTTTGCGTTGAATGGTTGTACACGGGCTGAAATTGCTTATGATAGCTTTATAAAGCTTCAGAAAAACAGAAATCCTATTCATCTCAAAGGGCCCTCAGTTTTCTGTTATGCAAGAGGCAACCTGGGCTGTGGCACAGCTAGTTAGTAGCCAGCTGCATAAAATCACTACTTGTTGCATCCCAGATCAGGAAACGAGACCATAAGATTAAATCCACCAGACTGGACTGTGAGAAAAACAATCCTCTTTTATTGATGAAAAATGGTTACAAAAGAAAGGTAAATGCAAAGTCAAAAAGCCACAGTAGAAACTCAGCAGTCAGGAAAAATCTTTGAGCTTGAGCAAAATTCCAAAAACAACAATACAAAACCAGGAACCTGTTAGCATCTCACTAACCGTACTTGGAAACTAGAAGGCTCTGGGAATGCAGGCCATGGAACACAGGAAAACTGCCAAAGTGCTACCTCAGTCTAAAACATTGCTTGATCTAACAAGACAACCGGGGGGGGGAGGCTCCTTAAGCTAAAGAAACTATTTCTTGAAATGCCTCCAGACTTCTGAGCCTCCCTCTCCCGTAATCTATTTGACCTTCGTAGAAACTGTGATTCACTCCTGTTTTTCCAAATCTGTTCCCTTCGGTCCTCATTAAAAAAACCCAGGTGTGATTCCCTCTGGAGAGCTATCATGGCTTGATTCTAAAACATTCTCATCAGGCTGTTTAGTTTCACTTTCCCCGCCACTGACCTCAGCATCAACAGTTTCAACACTATCAGGGAAAGATACATGTTCAGTGGCTTGCTCAGTTGCATACAGGAAATACAATCAGAGAATCAGGTTCACACAGAGATTGAGGCTCAGGTTCACACGGAAGCTGAACCCCAACACTACTGACCAAGAGGTCATGAGTTCAAAGCCAGCTCGGGTCAGAGTAAGCTCCTGACCATTAATAGTCTAGCTTGCTGTTGACCTATGCAGCCCAAAAGACAGTTGCACCTGTCAAGTAGGAAATTTGGGTACCACATTATGCAGGGAGGCTCATTTAACAAATTTACAATGCCATAAAACCTTCCAGCAGTGTGCAGAAGAATGAGGAAGTACTCCATCAAAGGATTCAGTGTCACAGGCTCCCCCTGTGGCCAGAGTCAAGCATACCCTTATGAAGCTGGAATGTTACATTGCCTCTGTGTCTGTCTATATATGTTGTATGTCTAAGTGGCATTGAATGTTTACCATATATATGTGCATTGCAATCTGCCCTGAGTCCACTGAGGGGGTGGCGGCAGATGTCTGTCTGGTCAAAATATTCATAGACACTCAGAGTCTTGGAGAGGTGAGGCTGCCCAGGGCATTGATCTCTCAATGGTAGCCCTCACAAGGTCTTGTTATAGAGTGGCAATTTTCAGTGTGCATAAGGAATTTTGCCTGTTTGACCACATCCTCCTGTATTGCTTTTCTTTACATGATAAGGCGTTTGTTCCGAATCTATTGTGAATAGATAGTTATCTCAGACCTTTGCTGCTACGACACAGAGATGTGAAGATTCAAAAGGCTCTGAAGGGGTGTGCCAGGGAAAGAGGCTATACTGCAAGTCAGAATACACTGTTCTCCCTTAAAGCGTTGAGTGATCTTTTAGGTCACATGTTTTTAACTGATGATTCAGGATGGGTTTTCTTATGATGTTGATCCCCGCCTCAATTCATGGGAAGAGGTGAGTAAGAAATAAATATGATCGTGATGATGGCTTGCAAACAATGTTATCTCTACAAGCAGAAGCCTCTACTTCAAAGAAATATCCAGAATGTAACACCCTTCTTGCGAAACGTACTCCACAAAGCACAGTTGTAGGATAATGAAACCCTCATCAAGTGAATGGATACAAAGCTACAATCTATATAAATAAAAATGTAATGTTCGTATGTGGAATTAACAGAACTCAAAAACCACTGGACGAATTGACACCAAATTTGGACACATTACACCACTCAGGACAATGAGTGACCATCACTCATAAAAACACTGAAAAACACAGTGGAAGGGACTGTAAGAGCCAAAAAAACGACCAAAAATACATTACAATGCACACGCAAAGCCACATATATATACACAAACACACATATACACACATATATGCATATACACACACACAGAAAGGAGGAAGGAGAGAGGGAGGGAGAAAAGGAAGGAAAAAAAGAAGGGTAGAGAAGGAAGGAGAGAAAGAGGTAGAGGAGAAGGGAAAGAAGGAGGGAAGGAAAGAAAGAAGGAAAGAAAGAAAGGTAGAGAAGGAAGGAGAGAGAGAAAGTGAGAGAAGAAAGAAGGATGGAAGGAGAGAAGGAAGGAAAAAGAAGGGTAGAGAAGGAAGTAAGGAGAGAAAGGGAAGGAGAGAAGGAAGGAAATAAGGGTAAGGAAGGAAGGAAAGAAGGAGATAAGGAGAGGAAGAAGGAAAGAAAGGTAGAGAAGGAAGGAGGGAGAGAAAGAGGGAGAGAAGAAGGGAAAGAAGGAGGGAAGAAGAGAAGGAAGGAAAAAAGAAAGGAAGAAGGAGAGAAGGAAGGAAATAAGGAAGGAGGGAGAGAAAGAGAGAAAGAAGGAGGGAAGGAGAGAAGGAAGGAAAGAAAGAAGGATAGAGAAGGAAGGATGGAGAGAAAGAGGGAAGGAAAGAAGGAAGGAAATAAAGAAGGGTAAGGAAGGAAAGAGAGAAGGAGGGAAGGAGATAAAGGAGGAAAGAAAGAAGGGTAGAGAAGGAAAGAAGGAGAGAAGGAGGGAGAGAAAGAGGGAAAGAAGAAGGGAAAGAAGGAGGGAAGGAGAGAAAGAAGGAAAGAAAGAAGGGGAGAAAAGGAAGGAAAGAGAGAAGGAGGGAGAGAATGAAATAAAAAAGTGAAAGAGGGGAGGAAGGAGAGAAGGAACGAAAGAGAGAAAGAGGGAGGGAGGAAGGAAGGAAGAAAGAGACAAGGAAGGATGGAACCAAAGAGCAAAAGAAGTGAGAAAGAAACAGGAGAGAAGGAAGAAGAGAAGGGGAAAGAAAGAGGAAGGAAGGAAGGAAGAAGAAGAGAAAGAGAGAGAGAAGGTTGGCCACAGCAACATGTGGCGGGTACAGCTAGTAGTATATAAAGTTTTTGGCATGTTCTTGTGGTGTTTGAACAACTGGAGGGGTCTCAAAAACACATCTGGTGAAGAATCAACAGATAAGAGCAGGCCTTGAGAAACATCAAAAGAACAACGCCGTACTATTGGTAGCATCAAGATAAATGAGATCGGTCTGTTCCTGTCAATCCGGTTCTAATTAAACTCATGAAATCAGTAAGCTGTTAAAACTTCTTTGTGTGTTTTATAGTTATTATATTTGATTATAATCTTAAAGTGCTTCACAGGAGGTTGACGAGGAAACAAAGCAAGCATAATAGGACCAAAACAAAACAAGGAAAATGTATTGATGCCAGTAAGATAAGTATCTTTAGCAAAACTAGTTTTGTTCTTTAGCTTGCCAGGAAAAAAAAGTGTTAAAAGAAAAAGAATAGATGGAATTGTCATTTTTGATATATAAAACATGAAAAGAACAATTATTGTCGAAGGCTTTCATGGCCGGAATCACTGGGTTGTTGTAGGTTTTTTCGGGCTATATGGCCATGTTCTAGAGAGGCATTCTCTCCTGACATTTCGCCTGCATCTATGGCAAGCATCCTCAGAGGTAGTGAGGTCTGTTGGAACTAGGAAAATGGGTTTATATATCTGTGGAAAGACCAGGGTGGAACAAAGGACTCTTGTCTGCTGGAGCTAGGTGTGAATGTTTCAACTGACCACCTTGATTAGCATTTGATAGCCTGGAAGTGCCTGGAGCAATATTTTATTGAGAGCTGATTAGATGTCCCTGATTGTTTCCCCTCTGCTGTTTTGCTGTTTTCATTTTAGAGTTTTTTAATACTGGTAGCCAGATTTTGTTCATTTTCATGGTTTCCTCCTTTCCATTGAAATTGTCCACATCCTTGTGTATTTCAATAGCTTCTCTGTGTTATCTGACATGGTGGTTGTGAGAGTGGTCCAGCATTTCTGTGTTCTCAAATAATATGTTGTGTCCAGGTTGGTTCATCAGGTGCTCTGCTATGGCTGACTTCTCTGGTTGAAGTAGTCTGCAGTGCCTTTCATGTTCCTTGATTCGTGTTTGGGCAATGCTGCTGCGTTTGGTGGTCCCTATGTAGACTTGTCCACAGCTGCATGGTACATGGTAGACTCCTGCAGAGGTGAGAGGATCCCTCTTGTCCTTTGCTGAACGTAGCATTTGTTGGATTTGTATGTTGTGTTTCCTCATCAGCTTCCCTATGCGGTCACTGACCACTGAACCACTGGCCGCATAGTTGATGAGGAAACACAACATACAAACTATCTACAGACCCACCAAGAAAAGCCAACAAATGTTTCGTTCAGCAAAGGACAACAGAGATCCTCTTGCTTCTGCAGGAGTCTACCGTATACCATGCAGGTGTGGACACGTCTCCATCTTTAAGATTCAACTGCGGGCATATTTTCGTTCCCTTGCAAGGCAGTGTGTGGGCTGATCCAACGCAACTACGTGTGGTTTATTTTACATTATGCCACAATGGGGGCATTGCTTATAATCATAGAATCATAGAATCAAAGAGTTGGAAGAGACCTCATGGGCCATCCAGTTCAACCCCCTGCCAAGAAGCAGGAATATTGCATTCAAATCACCCCTGACAGATGGCCATCCAGCCTCTGTTTAAAAGCTTCCAAAGAAGGAGCCTCCACCACACTCCGGGGCAGGGAGTTCCGCTGCTGAATGGCTCTCACAGTCAGGAAGTTCTTCCTCATGTTCAGATGGAATCTCCTCTCTTGTAGTTTGAAGCCATTGTTCCGCGACCTAGTCTCCAAGGAAGCAGAAAACAAGCTTGCTCCCTCCTCCCTGTGGCTTCCTCTCACATATTTATACATGGCTATCATATCCCCTCTCAGCCTTCTCTTCTTCAGGCTAAACATGCCCAGCTCCTTAAGCCGCTCCTCATAGGGCTTGTTCTCCAGACCTTTTATCATTTTAGTCGCTCTCCTCTGGACACATTCCAGCTTGTCAATATCTCTCTTGAATAATAAGGGATATGAACCAATCCTCTAAGGGACAAGCTTTCCAACTCTTAAGGAAAGAACATCTCTTATCGTAAGAGACATCTGCCAACCCTAGTAAGACTATGTGGTTGTCTTAATGCATAAAGACTTGCATAGCAGCAACAACATAATGTAATACTTCCTTCCCAAAGTTTCCTGCTGGGGAAAATGTTCTTTCAACTTAGTTTTCTTCTTAAATCATTTACACACTCTCTCTCACACACACACACATACACACACATTACAATTTAGCAACTTACCAGCAGATTTTCCCAAGGCAATTTTAATGAAAGCAGCCACCGGTCGGCCAGCGAAGTCATCCGAATGGTCAACCAACACTTCTTTCACTGCTTCAAATCCAGACACTACTACTAATGGTCGGTGTCCTAACCACAGTGTGTAAATTTTTCCATATTCCTCAGCCAGCTGTCATCAAAAGAACAGAAGTTTACATTCAAACTAAGCATATTGTTTTGCTTTCCAATTGCTTTTCAACAGCTTTTCAATCACACAGGCAACAGAGTTCATATTTACAAGAATAGGCTTTTGCTATTTCCCTTCTACAGCACTTTCATCCCTATAGAGTGGGGAACATGAGTGGAATGTTACAGATTATAATATTGGGAGAGGGGTTTAAAGGTGGACTGAAAAGTTGACCGAATCATTGACATCGTTATCATTCAAATGACAGTTGTGCTGTCACGTGCTGGGCTTGTGAAAAGGTCTGTAGACAGGACGTGTTCTGTATGCCCAACGGGACGCCGGGGGTGCCTCGGATTAGAGGCCCTTTGGATTTCCCTAAACAAAGTCTTTAGAAACTTGGAAAGTTTAACAAAGTTCTTTATTAGTGCTTAGGTCTTCAATAAATCAAACAAATACTTCAAGGCTTTGAATCAACTGGTGGCTTTCTTAATCTTGTCCACAAGGGACAGGCAACTATCTTCATGAACTGTTTCTTCACTATCAGGGAAATCTGTCTTAGGCTCTGCTGGCGTGGGCCCCTACACCCGGTCCAAATTGCATTATGGCTGCCATGAGTGGTCCTTACCAAACAGAGTCCTTTTATAGATTTCCAAGAGGAAAGAAGGTCTTCAATTCCCAGGCTTCAATTCCCAAGGCTGGCTGTAAAGCTGTGGGACTGTATTTCTCCAACAAAGAGCTTGCTGTAGAGCTGTAGGACTGAACTCCCCCCAGCAAAAGCTGTAAAAGATGAAGCTTTCTACAGGTGGAACTGATTCACGTCCTGTACGAAAGGCTTCTCTGTGTGAACTGAACTAGAGGTCCCCTTTTCCCCTCCTAAACCCAGAAAAAGGGGCGGAACTAAAGAACCTAACGATGATTGATGGGTCATTGGCCCTATAATTGCAAACCAAGGGAAGCCACCTTATTGCAAAATGCATGGAACCTTGGAATACATGCAAACACTCAAAGAAAGAAAAAGAAGTTGGAGCTCCTGGTACAGCTGTACCAGCACAACAGTTATAGTAGTTAAGCCAGCTTTCAAGAAAAAAGCTATCTAGAGCAAAGTCTGCATCCTTGGTTGTTCCCTTTCTGATATATATCCATTCATATATTGAGAAACATAGAACAAAATTAATAACATTTGTCTGTCTTTTGCATTGTGCTAGTCATACATGTTTTCCATCAGTATTATTTATTCATTCATTCATTTCAGACATTTATATCCCATCCTTCTCACCCCCGGAGGGGGACTCAGGGCAGCTTACAACTGGCAACCATTAGATGCCAACAACAATAATAAAAACACAGTTAAACATTACTTAAAACATCATCGTAAGTTAAAATTATCTCTTAAATTTTAAACATTATATATGTGCTTTACTAAACACTAATTGCATTTCACTCTTTTGTCATGGTTTACACTTCACCTGATTTTTTTTTCTTCCCTTGTCGTCACTGTTTTTGTTCTCTTTCCTTCCTCTGCAAATCCTTGTCCTTGCTGTATTGTCAAAGGCTTTTCCTAATTTCCAGTTTTCCTAGTTTCCAACAAACCTCACAACCTCTGAGGATGCAGGTGAAACGCCAGGAGAGAATGCTTCTAGAACATGGCCATACAGCTCGAAAAACCTACAACAACCCTCTTTCCTTGCTATTTCACAAACTCTCTTTGTAGCGGAGGGAGAACAAAGCTTTCTGCCTGAGTGACATGGTTGCTGTAATATCCAAAACTGCTGTTTCTGAATCTCTGTGTGTTTCATTACAAAAAGTACCCTCTCCTCATCATCTCAAGTGCACTTATTTGTTTTTGGTAGGCATTGGATGGAAGAGTGGCAGTATCAGGTATCACATAAAAAGTGAATTGCTGCCAGTACAAGGTGGGAGTGGTTATCTGCCTTCACTGTAGGCAGAAAAGGAAATTTGTCACAGTATACAGCTTCTAAAATGAGCCTTTTATACTTTGGACTAGGGCTGGGCGGTTTCGTTCGTTAATTTCGTAGTTCGTTATTGATTCGTATTTAAATTAGCTTATGATCCGATATTGAGCCATGCAGGAGCAACTAAAAATCGAAACGAATTTTTCAATTTATTTCGTAATTGTTTCGTAATTGGTTCGAAATCGTTTCGAAATCGTTTCGTAATTGGTTCGAAATCGTTTCGAAATCGTTTCGTAATTGGTTCAAAATCGTTTCGAAATCGTTTCGAAATCATTTCGTTATTATTTACGTATGTCTGGTGCAAGTTTTATAGTTGTTTGTTTTATCAGTGATAAAAAAATAAATTATCACACCAACAGTCAACAACAGAGGGAGAGGGAAGCTTCAGAAGTTTCCCCTGTCCCATTTGGAGGTTTTTTTAGCGTATTGTGCAATCGCGTCCGCCATTAACGAATCAATTCGAAATTTACGAAATTTCGTAAATAACGATTTTTTTAAAGAAAAATTCGGAATTCTTTTAAAAAACGAAACGCAATGGACCCCCTAAAAACGAAACAAGTTTAGAAACAAATTTTTCCGTTGTTACCCAGCCCTACTTTGGACATCTTACAAGACAGTGTGTCTCAATGGAAGAGAGAGTGGTGTTTGGTAAAGCGGAAGGCAATGAGAAAAGAGAAAACGGCATTGTTGGATTGACATTAGAGTTTTTGCCTGAGAATTCCATCAGTGATCTTCCAAGAGCTCCAATCATCAATCACCTTGCTCAGTTCTTGCAGACCCAGGCTTCCTGGATTGCAACAATTCACCTGTAATATGGTCTCCCTCTTTTTCTGTGAACTTCCATGTTATCAAGCATTATCATCTTTCCAAATGAGTCCTGTCATCTCATGATATGTCCAAAGTATGACAGCCTCATTTTGGTCATCCTCACTTCAAATGAGAGTAAAGAAACCATTGAAAGGCAATGTAACAAGAAGGTTTCCAGGAAAAATAAGGGACAGGCCTCTGTTCCTTCTGTCCCTCTTCTACATCATCATATTATGTACTTCTCCCTCATTCTTTTCTTCCTCATTTCCTATGGCCCTTCCTTTATTATTTCTTCCCTTTTCTCTTATCCTCTTAATGCTTCTCTCCACTATTGGTCACTCCCCTATCTAAACACAGACTCAGAGAGTCACAGATTTGGAAGAGACCGTAAGGGCCATCCAGTCCTGTCACAAGAAATTCAATGTGCAGATTTGACAAATATGAATTTAATAATGATGTTTGGGAATGAATGGAAGGATGAATGGATGGATGTATTTTGGAAACACCAGAATAATAGTAAGGCCTGCCCGCTATGCTCTGCTCCATGGGAAGGAGAAAGATAGTGTACTATGGAGTGGCAGATCTGCAAGGGAGCAGTCTGGTCACTTTGGGGCTTCTTTCTCAAGGGAAAAGGAAGAAGTGCACTTTTGGAGTCTTAGGTTTTGTGCAGGGAGTCAGGTTCTGCTATATGGAAAACAGAGATCTAGTCCTTGGCATTGTTCTTAGGGAAAGAAGTTTTGGCATTTTGGCGTTTTGAAGTTTTCATGTTATGGAACTATACGTTGACAGTCTGCAGGAAAGCAAGGTCTGGCCTAACAGGTGCTTCTCCAAGGGAGAAAATGATATGGTAATATTTGGATGCATGTGGATGAATGCTTGTACATGTGTGTGAATGTTGAGTGGAAATGAAATTCCCCTTTGTTTGTTTGTTAACCAATGTAATCGTAAATCCAATGTAGTTGCATAGAATATGTATGTCTGTATGTCCAATGTCATTCTTTATTTATTATTTATTTATTTATTTATTTATTTATTTACAGTTCTTATATTCCGCCCTTCTCACCCCGCAGGGGACTCAGGGCGGATTACAGTAAACACATATATGGCAAACATTCAATGCCAGTTTGACAAACAACATTTAACAGACAAAGGCTATTTAACTTTTTTTTTCTGGCCGCCAGGGGAGCTGCTGCTTTTCATCATCCATCAACGACACCGATGAAGTTCTTCCGCATTCCACATTCCCCGGAGTCTTCTTTCTTTATGGCCTCATAAATTAGTTAAATTTAGCCTCCCACACAAGGTGGTGCCTTATTTTCCTACTTGACAGATGCAACTGTCTTTCGGGTTGCAAAGGTCGACAATGGGCTACACAATGGCTGGACACCCACTCCAGCCCGGGCTGGCTTCGAACTCATGACCTTTTGGTCAGAGTGATCTTAATGCAGCTGACACTCAGCCAGCTGCGCCACAATCCCGGTTCCTTTCTTTGTCTAAATGTTTTCTGTAATCTGATATACCTTCTCACACTGGAGATTGCAATAAAAAGAACCTATGCTTCAAAGTCATTGAAAAGTCATTCATGACAGTCCAAACCCCTGCCATGCAGGAAAAGCACAATCAAAGCCTCCTAACAGATGACCATCCAGCCTCTGTTTAAAAGCCTCTAAGGAAGGAGCTTCCACCGGACTCTGGTGCAGTGATTTTCATTGTTGAACATCGCTTACAGTCAGGAAGTTCTTCCTAATGTTCAAGTGGAATCTTCTTTCCTGCAATATGAATCCACTGCTCTGATTTTCTACTTTTCCTTTCTTTTACTCATTTGCCACTCCTCTGGGCAAATCTTCTAATTGCCTTTGTGTTCTCCTTCTTGACCTATTTCCTTTCTCCAACCCACTTTCCCCTTCTACCTATTTTAACATCTTCAGGCTATGTTGGCCTTCTCCACCCTTCACCATCTCACTGTTTCTCTCTCTTGTCCTCCTTAGTAGGATTGCTTGTGAAGTGGCCAACATGGCATAGTGCAGTGTTTCTCAACCTTCCGAATGCTGTGACCCCTTAAAACAGTTCCTCATGTTGTGGGGACCGCCAACCATAAAATTATTTTTGTTGCTATTTCATAACTGTAAATTTGCTACTGTTATAAATTGTCATGTAAATATCTGATATGCAGGATGTATTTTCATTCACTGGACCACATTTGGCACAAATACCCAATACATCCAAATTTGAATACTGATGGGGTTGGGGGCGGATTGATTTTGTCATTTGGGAATTGTAGTTGCTGGGATTTATAGTTCACCTGCAATCAAAGAGCATTCTGAACTCCACCAATGATTGAATTGAACCAAACTTGGCACACTGAACTCCCATAACCAACAGAAAATACTGGTAGGGTTTGGTGGGCAGTGATCTTGAGTTTTGAAGTTGTAGTTCACCTACATCCAGAGAGCACTGTGAACTCAAACAATGATGGATCTGGACCAAACCTGGCATGAATACTGAATATGCCCATATTTGAACACTGGTGGAGTTTGGGGAAAATAGGTCATGATATTTGGGAGTTGTAGTTGCTGGGATTTCTAGTTCACCTACAATCAAAGAGCATTCTGAACCCCACCAATGATAGAATTGGGCCAAACGTCCCACACAGAAACCCCATGTCTAGAAAGGACTCACTGTCGTGAGCCTCCCTCCGACCTCACATGCTCTCCCTCGCCTGCACATGCGCATCACGCTGCCATGTGCTGAGCATACCTGCTCTCCCCTTCCTACTTGAAGTCTCAGAAACAGCGTTCCCCTTGGCTGAGAGGCTGGCCAATCACAGCAGAGGAGAGCTTTTGGTGGGAAGATTTGCAGTCTGTTTCCAAAAAGGAAGAGAAGGACAGGCGGAGAGATTTTCAGCCTTCTCTGCCAAAGGGGCTCCTAACACCATCAGAAATATATGTTTTCTGATGGTTTTTAGCAACCCCTCTGAAACCCCCTTGCGACCCACACCCACGGATCTCGATCCCCAGGTTGAGAAACACTGGAATAGTGGTTTGCAAGCTAGAACAGGACTCTGGAGACCAGACCCCAAATCCTTGCTTGGTCACAGAAACCCACTGAGTGACCTTCGACCAGTCACATTCTCTTAGCCTTGGTGGAAGCCAAAGACAAACTTCTTTTGAGCAAACCTTGCCAAGTAAAACCCAGGGAAAGCTTCACCTTAGGACCACCATCAATCAGAAAGAAACTAGAAGATACAAAATAATAACAAGCAATCCTTTTATCATCCCATCCTTATGCTGTATCACGGAATCTCACTAGGTAGCCAAAAGAAAACCAATATGAACTGTAAATCATCATTTCTTCATCATAATATTATTACATTCCTGAGCTAACTTTCACAAACTGAGCTGCTAATGCTCTAGGGTAGGGTTGGGAATTATGCAGATGTTGAATTGCAACTCTCTGAGAAACCAGTGCCGGGTAAACATGAATTAGCAACATTCAAGGAGACATGAATTGCCTTGAAAGATTTTTAAAAACCGCCCTGATTATTACTTTTTAAACAAACAGATAATGTTTTGTACTAAACAATCTGTTTACCTTAATGTCCTCTTTGAAGACTACTGTGTCTCCAGCTTTTATGCAGATTTGTGACTTGGGAACTGCATTATATTCAGTCTACGCTGAATTGCATTATATGATTCTTTGCTGAGCATATAATGCAATTCCAAACTGCAGTATATGGAAGTATAGATCCAACATGAGTCTGGATCAATCTGGATTAAAATCAGAACAGATCTGCATTACTGAATTGATCTCCAGACATAATCAGATTGGCCAATCTCCAGATGAAATTGGATTGGTTCACAAATTTATTTGTCACATTAATTTTATTTTCCAGGAACCTTTGGCAAATGCTTTTAGAGTGCTATTGTTGCCATCACACTCGAGAAAAAATCAATTTAAAATCCGGTTTCTCCCTCCTGCAGAATTCTGGGGTTTGTAGTTTAGTGAGGCTGTTAAACCAGGCTGTGGCAGAGCTAGGTGATAGCCAGCTGCATTCAATCACTACTGACCTAGAGTTCCCATGAGTTTGAAGCCAGCCCAGGTCGGAGTGAGCTTCCGGCCATTAGTCTAGCTTGCTGTCGACCTATGCAGCCCGAAAGACAGTTGCATCTGTCAAGTAGGAAATTTAGGTACCGCTTCATGTGGGGAGGCTAATTTAACCAATTCCAGCAGCATATGGAAGAATGAGGAAGTACTCCATCAAAGGACTCATCACAAATGGACGGTGAAGCGGCATCTCCCCCTGTGGCCGGAATTGAGCCAGAATCGAGCATACCCTCATGAAGCTGGAAAAGCTAGAATGTTAAATTGCCTGTGTCTGTCTATATATGATGTATGTCTAATTGGCATTGAATGTTTTCCATTATATGTGCATTGTAATCCGCCCTGAGTCCCCTGCAGGGTGAGAAGCATGGAATAGAAATACTGCAACCAAATAAATAAATACTCCTCCCTAGATTACAAACCCCAGAATTCTGCAGGAGGAAGAAACCAAATTATAAGTGGATTTTTTTCTCTAGTGTGATGAGGTAAATAAGAGAATCATTTGCAGTTCCTTTCAGTAAGAGTCTTATTCATTAGCTGATTAATTATAAATAAATACCTTAATGAGAACATTGAGAGATATTCCAGTTCCAATCCTCAATATCCCTCCAATGAGGGGAAGCTGAAAAGGACCCGGAGGATAGTTTCGGCTGGACCAGAGCTGTTTCAGATACTGCACAATCAAGAGACCCAAAAACACAGTGACCCAAAAATCCCAGGATTCCACCATTCTCCCGTCTTTGCTTCCTCTTTGTATCTTCCTAGAATATCTGATCAGCTGAACAGGCTTTGCTTTCCTCTGACACGTTGCCGCTGTTGCTTCTGTTCTTGCTTTTCAACTAACATGTTTATATATTTCATACTAAGGCAGCAAGCCTTCTTGCACCATACCAATTAATGAAGGGAGGTGTTTTTTCCCACTTGCATCACATCAAAATTTAAATACAGGTACCTTCTGTATTCTTAGAAACAGAGATGAATAAAGAGACAGATATTGCCAATGATCACAAGGACTGTGTTTGAGGAGTTAAGACTGTCTCATGTTTCCTTTTCTAGCTATTCTTGTTGCACTTCAGCTAGGGTGCTCAAGCACTCACCAGGAAGCCAAAAGTAGGAATAAACAGTTTATTGAAAAAGCACACACAGTAAAAGAGTAAAAAATAAATCTCCAATGCAAAGGTTAAAGCATGAACATAAATGCAAGGATCAGGGTACAATCATGAGCTTGAATAATCCAAAAACAAGGAATAAAACTTCAACTTGAGTAATCCAAGACTCAAAGAACAATACATGAGCTTGAGCTCATGGTAAAATCCCCAAGACTTAAAGCAAAACTTGACCAAGACATGGCTTGAAGCAAGAAGCAAGGCAAGAGTTCCTTGCTCTATCCACTACATTGTTTGATCTGAAAACCAAAAGCTAGTCTTTCCCTAATTAAGGACAGCAAAGCATGAAAGCATTCCTTCAACCCTGAGTAGTCCCTGGAATTCTTCCACCGCAGAAGCAGCCTTGATTCTTTATGTAACCTCCCTTCCTGCCTGTCAGCTTCTAAAGCGGTTTTGTTTTCACACAGAGAATCCCCAAATCCCCCTCCATTCTCCCACCTGGGGAATCACCATCCTCTTCTAACATCCCTCTGTCTGAGCATCACCAGAAGCATCAGACCTTGCAGGCCCTGCACCCACAAACCCCTCATCATCATCCTCACCTGGCTGAACTACACCAAACCCCTCATCCTTATCATCAGCTAGCTGAACTACACAATTCTGAGCTCCTGGGTGAATACACAGGTGCATTTCATCTGGGAGCAGACCTCCAATCTCCCAATCCTGAGCTAAGACCAACTACTTATCTTGGCTGCATTAATAGGAATGGAGCGTCCAAATCAAAGGTCCTCAAATGTTTTAAGCAAAGGGACAGTTCACAGTCCCTCAGACTGTTGGGAGGGGGGGGGAGAGATACCAATAGAATCATAGAATCATAGAGTTGGAAGAGGCCTTGTGGGCCATCGAGTCCAACCCCCTGCCAAGAAGCAGGAATATTGCATTCAAAGCACCCCCAAGAGATAGCCATCCAGCCTCTCCTTAAAAGTACTCCAAAGAAGGAGCCTCCACCATACTCCAGGGCAGAGAGAGAGTTCCACTGCTGAACAGCTCTCACAGTCAGGAAGTTCTTCCTCATGTTCAGGTGGAATCTCCTTTCCTGTCATTTGAAGCCATTGCTCCATTGCGTCCTAGTCTCCATGGCAGCACAAAACAAGTTTGCTTCTTCCTCCCTATGACTTCCTCTCACATATTTATACATGGCCCTAATCATGTCTCCTCTCAGCCTTTTCTTCTGCAGGCTAAACATGCCCAGATCTTTAACGTTCCTCATAGGGCTTGTTCTCCAGACCCTTGATCTTTTGGTTGCCTTCCTGTGGATATATTCCAGCTTGTCAACGTCTCCCTTCAATTGCAATGCCCAGAATTGGACGCTTGCCATAGATACAGGCAAAACGTCAGGCGAAAATGCCTCTAGAACATGGCCATATAGCCCAAAAAAACCTACAACAACCCAACAATAAAATATTTAACATGAAGAACAATTTTAACCAACATAAACTTATCAGTATTTTAACAGTAATTGTTGGCCTGCTTTTTTGGCCAATGAGATAGCCATGTTAATCAGGGTTGCTGTTGTGTTTAGCTGAGAGACTATAATGAAAGGTCCTCCAGTGAATTCCTTATCATTATGTTGGGGTTCAGCCTGATCCTGATCTGTGTGAACAGGATTCTCTGATAGTTTTTCCAACTGAGCAAGCTCTCCCTGACTCTGACAGTGTGGAATCTGTTGTTGATGCAGAGGTCAGTGGGAATGAAAACGAAACCCAACAGCTAGAAGAGAATGTTTTGGAAGTTAGCCGTGATATCTCTCCACCTGGGGTTGATAATGAGGACCGAAGAGAACAGAGATAGATATGTTGCCCAGTCTGTACGAAGGTCACAGCGCTTACAGCAGAAAGAGGCCCAGACAGAAAAGTCAAGGGGTGTTTCTAAGAATAGCTTCTTTGGTTTAAGAGGGTTCCTGCCGGATGCTTCTTTAGGTCAAGCAACGTTCGGGACTGTGGCTGGCCTTGGCAGAATTCCTGTGTTCCATGGCCAGTAATCCCAGAGGCTTCTAGTTTCCAAGTTCATGGTTAGTAAAAGGCTAACAGACTCCTGGTTATTGTTTTGTGGCTTTTGAAGTTTTGCTCAAGTTCAGAGATCCTATTGACTACTGTGTTTTTCTGTGGCTTTTTGACTCTGCATTTACCTTTCTTTTGTAACCAATTTTTCATCAATAAACAAGGATTGCTTTTCCTACAGTCCAGAGTGGTGGATTAAATCTTATGGTCTTGTTTCTTGAACTGGGATGCAACCCATTAAATGTTTGATTTATATTCCTATGTATTTTATATGCCTATATATCCAGGGTCACAAAAATATTTATCAGCCAGAAAGGGATCACAAGTGGAAAAAGTATAAGAATCCCTGCTCCAAATCATGGATGACATCACAAGTGTGCACATCCGTGACATACAATGCTTCTCCTCCTCCTCCTTTATTGGAATAGCTTTTTACCCTTTCATTACTACATTCCAATCACAAGGCTCATCCCACCAGCTTTCAATGACGCCTAATCAATCACATGTGTATTCTTGTGCTAGGGTATAGCTTGTTTACTTCCCATGCTCTGTGTCTTATTGTAGAGACATTTATTTATTTACTATATTTATACTCCACCCTTCTCACCCTGAAGGGGACTCAGAGCGGCTTACATCTGAGACTATAGGTAATTCTCTCCAGATGATTCCTTGTCAGCATGTGCAAGAGTTTATGTAATACTTGTGCAATAGGGTTGCAAAATTAGATACCCATCTAATGCCTGGATGCTCACATCCAATTCTCCCAGTTTATGTCTTCTGTGTCAAAGTTCCCTAGTCTTGCTGGTCATATAAAATTGGATCAACTATGGAGCATCCTATTGTGTGGGGTGATCAAAAACCTCAATTGATCTCCTTAACAGGAGAGAGTATATTAAAGAAAGAAGGAAGAGGGGGAGTAATGAGTTTTAAATTCAAAAACTTCAAGCAAGCTCTATCAGAAATATTACCAATATGTGAAACGGGAAACAAACTATTTAATGTTATATGAATTAATAAAGTTTTCTTACTGTGAGAAAGTGGAATTCACGAGAATAGATAAGGATCTGGCTGATACAATCTAAGTGCTGCAGATGTGTTTATGGACAGAGAGGACTGAGCTTGCAAAGTGCCTAACTATTGCCTTACTTAGGGTCCTTCCAGACACGCCCTATATCCCAGGATCTAATCCCAGGTTTTCTGTTTTAAACTGGATTATATGAGTCCGCACTGCTAGATTTTTTAAAATATATTTTTATTTGAAATGGTGGGGGAAAGGGGAAGAAAGGAAGCATTTTAATTTTTACATGTAAAGTGAGAGAACAATAATATAGAAAAAGTAGGAAAAGGGAAAAATAGATTTGAAAAAAGAAGAAAAAGGGAAAAAAGAGAAAGAAAAAAATCATATATATATATATATATATATATATATATATATATAGTGACTTCTATCTAATCCTTTGCGGATTTGTACTTGTTCATTTAGTAGTATTCTATATTAGAGATATTAAGGCGGGGGGAAGAAGAAAGCTTTGACTTTAACCTAAATGAAGTCCATTTTTCTGGTGTTCCATTTAATAAGATTTAATAATTCTTTTCCTTTCTCATTTCTTCATATTCCTCCATCTGTGACCAGTTTGTTTGTTTAATTGGGATTCCCAAGTTTTTCTTTAATAAAAAGGTTAATTTTTCCATGTCTTTTATCTCTCTTTTATGAATAAACATAACAGTTTAAATAATGTACCAGTAAGGCCTTCTCGCGGACCACCCTGAGATTTGGGGGGGGGGCTGAAGCCCCTCAGCCCCCCCCCCCCCGGCTACATGCCTGCATGGTGGTATTGTTTTATATGCAGACCAACATCATATGTGACGGCGTGAGTGGCGCCATCTATGTATAGAACTGTTAGTTGCAAGATTTAAACTGTTGTATCATGCTTAATCCTGCCCCTTTTACCCTGCTTATGTATAGTTGTATGGATTGGTTACTTATAGCTGTCAATCAGTACTGTTTGGCTCCACCTCTTCCTGCAGGAGGGGAGTGCTTCCTTTCTTTTTCATTCTGCCATCAGAGTTCCTACCATATGGACGTGAGTAAGAGACTTGACTCTAAAAGACCCTGATTTAAATTACCTCTTAGCACCAGTTCTGAGGTTTTTTACCCTTGAGACTTGTGCTTCATGTTCAGACCAACCTGAACGACATTGGAAGTCTCAAGCGCCTTCAAACCGGTTCTTTTGGCACCAAAGGAAGATCCTGAGTCTTCAAACATAGGCCATCTGAACTGGGGTTGTGGTTTGCTCCGGCATTCACAGCCATTGAGGAAAGAGGAAACTTGGTGAGGCTTCTCAGCTTCAAACCCCTTGGACCCAGGACTAATTGAGACTGTAGAGTATGTTTTCCTTCACCCCTCTAAAGTTTTCCAGCTTATTGCTTTGAAGAAATGACTTTGTGATCAATAAAACTTATTTTGAGCTATTTACAGCGTTTTGGGTTTTTGGGAGTTCCAGTTTCCTAAAGGAGGGCAAGAAGCAATCCCTTGGGGGAAAGGTGCCACGTCCATCCCTCCTTCATTAAGACTAATAGCCCCCAAGCGCGACGGCACATCATACATTTGGAGCAGAATACATTTCCTGTGTAAAAAATGCAACTTCAGCTTAGAAAT